TCTTTCCAGATACTGAATCCAGATAAAAGCAGTATACTGGAGGATAATTTAGAAGAAAAGTTACTGTGTCCTTAGAAGGCTTTTGTAACTCACAAAGCACAACATCTGATGACTAAATTTGTTGTTAGAGCTCATATAGCACCAAAATCTCAGAAAGCAGTATAAACAGTGTGATCCTAAGAGGATTAGAAGAAAAATGTGTGCACAAGTTCACATGAGGAACCAAAGCATTTCAGAACTCAGGCAGACAACATTGTTTTAGCCATAGCATGGACACAGTGTAACAGATGGGTAGGAGAAAGTAGTATAAATGATGGTGGTTTTATAAGAAAATGGTTAAACGCTTTTGCAAATAGCTTTTAGAGAATTTTTTTTGTTGAATTGATTATGTTTCGAAACAGGTAAGAAATAACATTAATGTACATCTGTGCTATGGGTTTATAAGCAGATTTCTTGCTGTGTGGTGCCATGGTTGTTTTTATCTGTGGTTTTGTCTTTGTACCGATTATTACTTGGTTGATAAAAGCAGCCCAGTCTGTGCTAGCAGCATGTGTTGGTATTTGCTTTTTTGGTAGCTGGTTTGACATATTAGTTTTGGTCTTGCAGATGGGTATGGCCTGTCTTGTTTGCTTGGACCTTTTTGCCACCTCTGCATACAAGCAGCTCTCAAGAGTTTATGGCTCCAGACATTGCTGCCGCTCTGTGCGCCGCAGTGGGATGCTTTTTCCAAGGAGATGATGTTGGGTGTTGTAGTGAGCTGTTGGGTGCGGTGTCATGGGGGGAAATGGGCATCAGGTGTGTCATTCTTATGCAGAAAAACCCAGTGTGGGCAAAGCTGGTGGGCGCTGCCTGGGAGCAGGTCAGGACAGAAAAAAAAAATCTTAGTTAAGTGGAGCAGTATTCAGTTGATGTTGAAGGTATTAGTTATCAGTCAGAGGTGAGCCCCCAGCCCCTCCAAGATGAAGGATCCAAACTCACAAACTACTGTGTTCTTCAGGTGTGCTTTACCAAATTCAAGGGCATCTGGTGGATTATTTCTAGGTGTCACGTAGTGCAGCTGTTACTACAGCTGGGCGCCTGCTTAAATCACTCTAACAGGTCAATATATAAAGGCGAGATATAGTCTAAAATCAATAAATTATAGGAGTCACCTGCATTGTTTCAAGGTACATGTCATAATTGCAAAATCCAATAGGATAAATCTGGAAAGAAAAAAGCTGCTGCTGAGGCATTTGTACTCAGCACTTGATTCTGAAGAAGGACATCACAGTTTTCTAAATGTTTACATGTCATTTCAAGCGCTCTGATTTAAAACTGGAGCCCTCAACCAATTAACATGAGTGAGGAATGGAGCAGTCACAGCCCTTTCTTTTCTCATTCTGTGCTCTTGAGTCTTTGCTTCCAGGTTCTTTCTGTGTCACTGCCCTGTTTAAATATAAAGTGAAGGACAAGAAGCTTCTTCCACAGATCAGATGGAAAGGTTTCTGTCTCTGGCTTTGATGATAAGTACTGCACTCAAATGATTGCACAATGGCAAAGAGGTGTTGGAAGGAAACAGTTTGGGCAGTGTATAGTGAAGAAAGCCTTTTTCATTGAAGAAAATGGTTTATGTTTGTGCAATCATCCTTTATTTATGTTTGCCACGTTCCTTCCTAAATGAAATAACCCAAACCAAGCGTCACATTCAGAATGGGGCAGAAGGGCCCTCCTCTGACTTTCTCTGTGCACAGCTTTTATAGTAATTTAGACTGTTCTCAAAATAATATTGTTGGTTGGTGGTTTGATCTCTTTTCAAGGAAAACTCTTGTTATAAGCAAGTAATATTTTTATGGGGTTTGCCGAGTGAGGTGATAAAAGCTTTCTCTACTGGTCTGCAACTCTCACTGTGGAAAAAACAAACTTTGAGTAGCTTCATGTAGGAAACTGTGCTTCTTGGGAATGGAGTTTTCCTTAGCCTATTTACATAATTTCTTCAGCACCAGTACAACTAAGCAAGGAGACAAGAGCATGTTTGCAGATGCTTTCAATTCTCAACATTCCTGCATTCTTCATCATCCTCTGCAGTGTCTCTCACTTGGGCTGCAAAGGTTTCTACCTGCCTTGGTGGTGTGGTGGTATCTTCTAAGGATAAAATAAGCCTGATTGCTGCAGCTTTTTTTTTTTTTGTGTTTTTTTTTTTTTTTGTTTTCTTGGCTGGGTCCAAAAATGCCTTTATAATAAACTGTTTCCTGCTGGTTGAGCTTGAAAATTGCATGCGAGAACTTTGTGTAGATCATGAGCTCCAAACCCCATAGTTATCCTGTACTTATAGTAAAAGTTTTTGAACACAGGTTGCAAATGCTTTGTAAATAGTTTAATCTAAAAATAGTCTGACAATACTTCATTAGTCACCTATGTCCATATGTCACCCTTCCTGCTCTCATGAGTGGGCAATTAGATTATTTCCTAAAGAAAAGTAGTCTGGCAAGTATTTGCATGGAAAGCAAGTCAAATATTAGTGTGAATTAAAATAATTTGTCATTGCTGAATAAAAAGGGATGTTACAGTGGATTGAGTTAACACATATTTGGGCATTGAAATGTGTTTTCTTAACTATTGTTAGATGCATGATATTATTGATATGTAAATAAAATTACTAAAAATGTACGGGAACATGGATTGTTTTTTTTATTATGTTTTTGTTCATTTTTTGAACATGGAAAAGATTTTTCTTGAATATTGCAGTGGGAGTATTTCTGTTATGTACTTATTGTCAAATGTCACCAGCAACTAGTATGAGGTGGTTATTTTAATTACTGAGGTCACTGCCGGAGTTGGTAACTGTCTGGGCGCATAGGCACACCTGTGTACATAAATGGAGTTATTCAGTGCAGTACATGTTAGGAACACAGTGGATGTAACCATTTTGGAAGCCAGACCACTGGAATGTTGATTTTTTTTGTTTGGGGCTTTTGAGAGTAGCTGAGGTTTAGTTCCTGAAGAAATTTGACATGGACAGAAGATACTGTAAGCTGCCTACTTTGCCTCGTTAACTTCCCAAAGATTTTTCTGGAAAGCTAAAGCAAGATCTAGACACTAGGATTTTTATACACAGGTGGTTCTGTTTGGTGCTCCTGC